CAGTTACAGATCAGTAAATCTAGGTAACCATTTTGTATGCACAAACAATACTTAGGACTTTATCACACCAGGCTTGAAAAGCGACAATAAAGCAGAATAGTAACATTTTGATCTTACCTTATCACATGATGCTGTGTCTGCCCAGTAGCTGGTCTGTAGTCCATCTGCTCCTGAAGTGCTCAGTTTCATTGACAGAGAAAACCTGTCAATTATCTGATGAGGCTGCCATGAACTATTCTGAAACACTAGATCACTATACCAGGGGTGTGAAAAGTGCAGCACATGGCCTGCATAAGACTCTCCTGACCCCACTTTTGCAGTTCCCAAAGCCCCCCTATTGTGCTGCCTTTTCACTATTGAGTGTGATGACTTTCTCTCAAAGCATTTCTAATATGCAGGCAGTCATGTGGTGTGAGTGGGCATGATTCTGCTCCTCTCTCTCCTCCTCCTCGTTTTTCCCAAGCAAGCACTATAAATAAATGAATGAATAAATAAATAAATAAGGCATGCTGGGAAGTGGTTAGGGCAGGGGGATGGGTCTGTGGAGGCCAGTATGAGGAAGGCAGAGGCCATGCCAGAAGCAGCACCATTGTACTTTTGAAAAACTGTGCAATAATGGGTGTCCTTAACCTAATATGTTTGCCAAATTAAGGGGATTGTGGCACCTTATGACCCTGGTGTGATATTCCCCATTCCTGATGGTGACATTATTGCCATGATCCTGGCTCTCCTCCCCACCTATTTGACTCAGCATCGCTGCATGGGGAGTGGTGGTCTATTCTGCCAACCATTGGACCCATGTAAATGATTTTACCCATGTAAATGATGCTTCCATCAGGTTTCAAGGGGAGGGCTGGGCCAGGAAAGGCTGATATAGTATACTGGCCCTTATTTATATTGTGCTTTCCCCCCAAAAAACAGGGATTTGGAAAGGTTTACAAATTAAAATTACATTATAGCTAAAAACTTACAAAAGATCAACACTTAAACAGAATTAAACTATTATTAATATAAAACTAAGTTTAAAATACAATTAAACTAATAATGATTAGTTTAAAAACATTTGCCTACATTCTACATCTGGTACTTTGTTATGTGTGCATAAGTACATATTGTCTCCTGGCCTGACCTGCTTCAAGACCACCTAAAGAGCCAGCAGCTGCCTTGTCTGTTCAGCTGTGGACTGGGGTACAAGGAGGGTGACATTCCTACCCCCTTCCCAACAGTATGTGAGGCTACAAGAAGAACTTGCAGTTGAAGTCTTGCCTCTGATTGCTGCAGCCTTGCTTACTAGTGGGAGGGGATGGAAATATCCTTTTCCTTAGACCTTGATCACAAGTTGAATGGACCTTCTTCACCCGATGCAGCTGCTGGCTCTTTAAGTGGGGTGGAGTGGCATTTACACAGTCTTTTAGTAAGAGTATGTAGTCATACTGAATACAGAGCAGTTATGGATCATTAACTCTAAGTTATGAATCCATAACTGAAATGCTGAATGCTAGCCAATAATAATAATACAGCACTTTCTACCAGGGTTCAATTCTCAGCTCAACCACGAAACCCACTGGGTGACCTTGGGCAAGTCACATGCTCTCAGCCTTAGGGGAAGGCAATGGCAAACCTCCTCTGAACAAATCTTGCCAAGAAAACCCCATGATAGGATTTTTGAAATGAAATGAAATGACTTGAAGTCACACAACAGCAACAACTTTTTTAAAATCCCTTTCTTTACAAATCTTAAGTTCTAAAAGCTTGTTGGAATTAAAAAAAAATCTTTGCCTGCTGATGGAAAGACATTAAAGAAGGGAATTCTGGCCTTTGTTTTGCAGAGCGTTCCAGAGCATAGGGACAACCATCAAGAAGGGCCTGTTTCACATCCCAACCAGGAATGCCTGTGAAGATTTTGGGACCGAAAGACAGGTCCCAAAAGAAATTATTTCATGCTACTATTCTCTAAAGAGATTACTACATGCAGCTTTTAAATCATGGTTACACCCCTCCCACAAAGTGGCTTTGGTGATGCTTATTGCATGCTGCTGCCTCTGCCCTGTAACTGCTCTGTCCCTGGCCTGTAGCTCCTGTATCCCTTTTCATTGATAGGGGAAACCCATCAATGACCTCCCAGATGTGAAACATTGCTGCTGGGGCAGTTGCGTGATTGCCAGTCATGTGGTGTCAGTGTCCCCCTACTCTCCCTTTGTTCCCCTCGCTATCCCCAAGCAGCCTGATTCTCTGTTTTTTCTCCATTTTTAAAAAATATCTGACAGTAGCAGAACTACAGAATTGCATGAAAAAAGTGGAAAAATAAATAAAAATAAAATATCCAAGGGCATGCTGGGCATAAAACAGGGAGGTGGGCTAAGGCAGAGTCAGGAAGAGTGTGTGATGGCATCCGCCACCCCAGTTGCACAATTCTGAAGACATGCAATATTGGTTGCTCTGAATGTGGCATGTTCCTCCCCCCTTTTATTTATTTATTTATTTACTAACATGATAGTTATGAGACAGGGCTCATGTAGTAAAGCCCTAAGTGAACAAGTGAGAAAGACACCATCTATTCTGTCTTTAGAATTCCACTGCAGTGTGATGGTTAGTACTGTGATTCTTAACAGGAATCGCCTAGGTGGTGATCTTGAAATTTAACAAACATTTAGGGAGAAATGAGGGAGTATTTGAGATTTGAGCAAAAGAACTGTGTCAGTTTCTCACACCACCTTGATGATAAAATTTCCTCTTGTGGCACATAGCAAAATTTAGTCCAAACTTGAAAGAAACTATCCAAGCTGATGAGCCTTTTTTGGGGATCCAGTTCAGCTTTTTGGAGATCTCCTTTATGGTTAGGAAGAATACTCAGTACAAATTTATTACACTCCTAAAAGGGAAGTCACCAGGCACCACTCACACAAGGATATCCCTACCCATTACATTAAACAGCATGGTCTAAAGTCATGTTCTGTGGAGGTTCACTTGAACACATCTGGAACACTATGGTTGAGATCTTACATTCTGGTTGCAGGGTGTAAATCTACACACAAAAAATTTAGTAGCGGTTGCATTACACCATCAATTTGCTCAATGCTGGCATTGTGCAACCATCTGATTGTGTATCTACCAGTTTGCTGGCTTGTTGTTGCATTGTGTAATGGGGAATGCACAGTGGCAGTTTCTGCAATCCTAGTGAATCGAGTAGTACATTGAAATCATTGATGAATGCACCATCCAAGAATGCACAACAGCGTTGGCACTGATTGTACTTGCAGAATTTTGCTTATGCAATTGTGAAACGAATAAGGATGATGCTCATTGGCCCCAAAAGTACAACCACATTCATAAGGGAATTTATTATGCTTAACCACAAAAGGAAATTCAACCATAGTGTGATTGAGGACCCTGACAGACATGCAACATATATTAATGACAAGTTATCTTTTCATGCCAGATTGAGCAAATAGGTGTATCATTTTGAAATGAAGCCACTGCTGCCATTAAACAAGGGCTCTTCATTTCACATTTTTTTAAAAAAGCATCACATGTTAAATTTACAAATACATTAACTGTCATAGCAATGCATTTCTGAATGCTGACCAAATCTGTCATATGCTGCTGTCATAGCCTCCCTTCTGCACTGTCTTTGATTAATCTATATTACTTCTCCAGGAAAGCGTTAAGATGTTTTCTCTAAAATGGCAATTATTTTATAAACCTATAAGATGCCATTTATTTTTACTTCTCTCTGAGTCAAGCTGTAACAGTCTGCAAGGGTTCAATTATCTTGTAAGAAGAAAATTTCAGCAGGGGAGGGGAAAAACCCAGATTTCTCCAAGTGATTACCTAATCTAATAGAAAGAGACAATTGAAAATTTGGGAGAGAACAATTAGCCGTCAATTTTTGAGACTTGAAATATTCCTGAACTTTCCCCTCCCCTCCAACTTTCTCAAAACTAATTTGTGCTATTCCAAGTGAAACTCTATCTTCCCACAAAGTTAAACAGCATGTAATAAGGCCTAGCCCCAAATGAAATGTAGGTCATTTTTTTAACACAATGGTCCTGCTTTAAAATGGAATGGAGTTATATTTTGTATGCAAATAGCCACACAAAGAGATAATTTCCTTCCAATAGGCTTTGAAAACCAGCGAGGCCTATTAGCTCCCTCCCCCCTTTAAAAGTTCAAACATGAAAATAATAGAACAACCTTAAACTAACAAGTGCAGCAGAACGGAAGTGAGAAGATAAATGAGTCTGGGAAATTCGGTAGGTCAGGGAAACCAGGGCAGGATAGAGAAGAAAAGGTGGTGGTGGTGGAAATCTCCCACAGATGTGGAGTTGACAAAGTGGAATCAAAAGATTTTTATACAGCTAGGGATTCTGATAAAGGCAACTTGAACATCTCTTTGTGTCCAGGAGGCCCCTTAGCCTGTTCTTTGCTCAGTGACAAAAAGTCAGGCAGCAGTTGTGACTAATAAACCACATTGTGCTTCTTTAATAGGTGTTTGTTCTACCTTGAGCTGTATCACACCCCAAGATGGAAAAACCTGAGCATCTTTGATTAGTGGCAGAGGAGAAAGCAGGGCCAATGGTTCAGTGGTGTAGTGGAGCCAGAGCATGCAGGGTTAGTGTTGGAGTGTTTTAGTTAGTTTGCATGATGATATCGTCTGTTTTCCCCAGCAATGGACGGAACTCTCTTGTTAGTGAGGCAGGAAATCTGTTCCAGGTCTTGGGTAGCTTTAAAAGAGCTGTCCATGGTGTTGAAACTATTTGGTGGTCAGGTTCAGTACCTTGGACAGCTCCAGCAAAGCCTGGATTACATCCTGGCCCCTCTACACTCTACTAATGTTGAAGCCACCTGCCACCACTGGCTTTCCTCTTCAGGCTTTTCTGTTCCTGTTGAATAGTCAAGCAATCTTCCTACATTCTTCACACTGGATGGTAAGATGGATTTTCTCAAACACAATATAATACTGTAATGTGTTTTGGGGTGGATTAAGATATGCTGAGGGAGCCAGCATGGTATATTGGTTAGACCATTGGACCAAGACTCCAGAAGACCAGGGTTCAAATTCCTGTTCAGCCATGGAAAACCACTGGGTGACCTTGGGCAAGTCACACTCTTTCAGCCTTAGTGGAAGACAATGGCAGACCACCCTCTGAGCATATCTTGCCAAGAAAATCCCACGATAGGCTTACCTTTGAGCTGTCATAACTCAGAAATGACTTGGAGGCACACAACAAACAACAAGATATGCTTGAAATTCTAAGATGGAGTGGGGAAAGTGTGTCCCACAGACCACATGTAGCTCCTGGAGCTCTTTTTGGTGGACCTTGAAGCTTGCTAACCCCTTAATTTTTTTTAAAAAAGTTCCAAAGTGATTTGGGGGCAATTCCCCTGGCCAGAAATTTAATAGAAAGAGTTGGGATGTGTTTGTGCTAAAGTAGTTGTGGGCTCTTTCACTCAACACAGTTATGGCACTATGATTCCTCTTTAATTGTCGTGGCTACATTGTTTGGAATCCTGGGGTTTAAAGTTTGTTAAGGCACTAGAGGTCCATGGCTGAGAATTCCGAAATTTGTTGTTGTTATGTACTTTCAAGTTGTTTCTGATTTAAAGTAAATCTAAGCTCACTCTAACATGGGGCTTTCTTGACAAGATTTGTTGAAGGGGTTTGCTTTTAATTTTACCTTACTCTGAGACTGAGATAGGATGACTTGCCCAAGATCACACAGTGGGTTCCATGGCTGAGCAGGGATTTGAACCCTGGTCTCCCAAATTCTGTGTCCAACACCCAAAAAGCTTTGCCACAGTGGCTCTTGAGAATTCTAAATACTTTCCCCGAAACTGTAAATCTACAGGATGGCACCAGAGCAGTTATTATTATTATTATTATTATTATTATTATTATTATTATTATTTATAGCCCACCCCTCTGCTCAGCAATCGAGGTGGGTTACAGCATTAAAACCAACAACAATTAAAACATTCCCACATGTTTCAGAGGAAGGATTTCAGAGGAAGGAACTGGCAAAACTACCTCTGAGGATTCATTGCCTAAAAAAACCCATAAAAGTCATGGGATCACCATGCATTGACAGGTGACTAGAAGGCACATATATACACACAGTTTAGGATGTGTTAAGAGTGCCCTCCTCACTTTCCTAAACTCATTTGAACACCAAAGGCGCTAAAAAGAGGCTATCTTTAAAACAAGCTTCCCATGAGCATCAAGCTGTGTGAATCGGCCCTGAGGTAGATGATACTGCAGCTGAACATGAAGCTGCAGAACATGACACCAAGCACAATCCTCTCTGTATGCTGAGAGAGGCTTTTTTAAAAAAAATTATATGGGAAAATGAAACCTGTTTTGAAAGATCCTTTTGTTTGTGTCCTCAGATTCTAGGCTTGTCGGAAAACAGCCACAGATCCTTTCGAATTGGCCAGATTTGGCCCTCTTTAAAATCAGGCTTGAATGCCAAGCCTGTTCCCCTGAACTGAAATAAAAAAAAAAATGCTGTGGAAAGCATTTGCTACAAACGGTCAGACTGGTCTGCTCAGGGAAATATTAAATTAGCTAGCTGCTGGCAAGAGCTGCCTTTTGAAGGCATGAAATTGAAGGGGGAAAAAAGTCTCTCAGCTACCTGGGAGATCCTTTGTCGATGGCAAGAGGGGGCAAAGGGGGAATGCTCCGGGTTGCATAACTGGGTGGGGATCTTTCTGTCCTTAAGTATGATTCTGTCAGAACTCAAACTTGCCAAGAACAGACTTCTCCAAATTAGCGGTCTTCAATTACAGCACTTATCCCCTTCAGCTCGATTCAAGATCTTGAGTGAGAAATTGGAAGCAAGGGCCCCAACCCCAGAACAGGTGTTTAATGGGAAGTCTGAAAGGCAGCAGGTGTCCGCATGTGGAACCTTTCATATATTGCTGGAGGGATTTAGTCAAAAGGCAAAGGTGGTTGTTCTTTCCTTCTGGCAGCTGTGAAAGGGAAAGGCGATCGTGCTGAAACAAATGAGGAGAGCAGCTTCTGCCAGCAATAGGTCTGTGGGTATGATGGCCAAGTACAGGCTAAAAAGAAGCACCAATTGGTATTCTAGTGGACAAAGACAGAATGGAATTATCTATGCTGCCATTCTATAGTTGACCCACTGACAAGGGCTTCCCTCTTCACTTCAGTGGAGAATCTGGCTTCATACAGGCAATGAGATCCTTTCATTTGAGTGAACAGGGAAATCTCAGGATTCAGCAGTTCCTCATGTGCATGGAAACACATGCAGGGTTTCTGTTTGATGTGCATTTATTAACTCAAAGATCATTGACTGTCCATGCCTAATTAAACAGGCCATTCCCAGAGTCCTCTGTCCATATTTTGTCATCATTTTCATGTGCTGAAAGCAACATCATGTTGAGCTCAAGTATTATCAATTGCTTATTTTATAAGCTGTTATCTAGTGAGGCAACCTTGAAGTATTCTGAAAGGCCTCGATCTACACCAGAGTGGTGAAAAATGCAATGTATGGGGTGCACAAGGCCATCTTGATCTCATGTTTGAGATCTCAAACTTCAAAATCTTGATCTCAAACTTCAAAAATTTTAAAAGACATTTTGAGCATGATTTTTCTGGCACTTTTCACATGAACTGTGCACCAAATGCCATGCAAACAAATGAAAACATGATAAAATAGCTTCCTACCCTTACCTTGCCAGAACTCTCACCCTACCTCATCAGTATCTCAGTCTTTGGCCTGATTAGCAGAGATTACCTGATTACCTCCAGATTACCAGTTTGCCTGATACAGTAATACCCCCATATCTGTGGGGGATACATTCCTGGAATTATTGTGGAAACATGAAACTACAGATAATAGCAAACCCTATTGAAATGAATGACTTTTGGTGGAAACATACCATAGAATTTTACTGGAGGACCTGGGAATGCCTAGAAAGAACACCTCTGTTGGTCTTCTAGTGTGACTCTGGGGTGAACGTCCAATGGAAGCACACCATAGAATTGCACTGGAGGACCCAGACATTGCTTAGAGAGCTGATAAGTGAAACTACAGGTACTGGTCCCATGGATATGGGGTCATATTGTATATAGCAAAAAAGCCCAAGGTATTTTGTCTTGCCATCACATGGTGGTGGCTTGCTGGTGGATTGACAGGCAATTGCACCAAGCATCAATTCAATTACCCACTCCTGCACTACTTTTTACCATTTTGTCCTTTTATTTGCCTCATACTCTAAGAACTGTGGTTTCCCCTCTATCCACAATCTAGTCTGTACATGCCAGTAAATCACTTGACATTATAGCACTTCAGTTACACTCTGGGCAAGGAAACATACATTTGAATGCTCACCCATGTCAACACACATACATTCACATCTACCACAAACACCTCCCTCTGCATAGAAGATAAAATAAATATGTAAAAATACTAGATCAGAGTCAGGGTGTATGTCCAATGTGGTTGTTGGGCCTCACTTTGCTCCCTAAGCCCTTTGCACTCCAGAAAACCTTTGGTTGAAAAAACACAATATTTCAGAACAGCTGAATGTTGGGGGAAACACTCTGAAAAACATCTGAGCCCCTATAGGTGACTGGGAGTGACACATTGGGTGAAATTCTACATTGCCAAACATAGTGTAAGAGTTCTGCGTGTGGGATTCCTCTATGGCTCTGTTGTCAGGACCCCAGGACCCACCATTGCACTTTGATAGCTCTCCCATGGCGGTACTATTGATAGTGGAGAATGGGAGGGGAATAGTCAGATACAGACTGTGGGCTAATGCAAATAGCTCCTAAGGGGCAGCTCTGTGCCATCCCTGGGAGTGCTGGATCGGGGCTGTGGCAACTATGTGCCGTTGCTTCAATCCACCTTTTTGCCACTCCCAAAAGAGCTGGCAAATGCTGCTCTTTTTTGGAGCAGCAAAAAGCTGCCCTTAGAGCCGCCACCACAGCTCTTTTGCGTGGGTGTACATTGCACCAACAGGGAGCCCTGACGCCGCATGCCATGCGGTCAGGTGCGCAGTGTGATGGCAGCATTGGGGCAGAGTCAGGGCAGCCGGCGTGCAGTCATCTTACCCCAGCTCCACCCCCATGCCGGCCCTTTAGACCCTGTGGTCATTTTCCATCAAGATCCACCGGGATCTTCTGGAGGTCTCAGCAGATGATGTCATCATTCTAGGTCTGGAAATTTGAAGCTGCCTTGTGTCCTATGTGGGAGAAAGGTGGTGTATAAATCAAATAAATTAATTTTAAAAAAAGCTTAGCCAGATGCCTCTCTAATCCCCTCCACTTTCCATCAGCAATGGAACTGTGGGGGTCTTGGTGTTATCACACTGCAACCATAAGTTGGTCATTACAGAAGGTGGAAAGGAATACTGAAAGCTGCAGGAAAAAAAAGACATATGCTGGCAAAAA